CAGCTCCTCACGACCCGGCTCGTGCTCTGGCTCTCCTGCCCACTCCGTCGCGAGAGCCTTTTTTTTCTTGCGCCCCTCGGAAGTTTCGCGTGCGTCATCCAAAAGCTCACCCACGCGTGATATGTTTTAGACGCCATGCTATGATATGCGATGCGATGCAATGCTGTGCTAAGACAATAACTGATACGCCAGGAACTCCTATGCTATGCGATGCTATGAAATGCTATGCGATGCTAAGGCATGCAATGCTTCGCAATGCTATGATATGATATACTATGCCATGCTATGCGATGGCATGCTACGCTATGTATTTCAATGTTTACATGCTACGTAAGTCGATGTCACGCTGTCATATGATACGGTATTGTACGATATGCGATGGTATGCTATATATGATGGTACTGTATTATTTATATGATGTGCTATGCGATGCTATGCTACGCTATGCTACGCTATGATAGGATTCGTATTCATATTATGTTCCCAAGCCCTTTCCGTCCTCCTTCTCCTCCTCCTCTTCCTCCTCCTCCTCCTTCTTCTAAAAACAACCACTGGAAATCGTGCACCCGTCTGCCGTTTCCAAACCGTTATAGGATTTACGCACCCTTGTCCAATAATGGTTGTAACGAGCAAGAGTTGAGGTGTTCTTTCCAATCGGGCCGTGTTGGTCCTCCACCTCCTCCCCTCTTACAGCAGTTTTGGCTTAAAGTTTCGCTTGCAACGCGATTCGAGCAGGCGGTCGACCTCTCGGCATGGCGGTAGAGATCCCAATCGGCCATGGGGTCGGGGTTCTCGACAAGCTGCCGTTCAGCGTCGTCTCGAGCGGCAGCTGGTACACGAACTTGAGCTTCGGGGTCGCCCCCGAGTGGTCGAAGGCAGTGGAAGCTTCGGCGTCTGTTTCGCGCATCTTGGATTTGACTTTTGGCAAGATGGTTTTGCACACGAGCGTGCGCGCCTGTGTGCGCGAGTGGTCGACGAAAAACGAGCTGGCCCTGACGGTGGGCCAGATCGACAAGATCTCCTACAGCATTCGCGCCATCATCGCCCAGCTGAGAAACATAATGAAGGATCGCCAGGCCCCGCCGATTTGGAGGCCGAAGTCCCAGGTGATGTATGACAAGATCGAGCTGACGCCGACTGAAAAGGCACCTGTTCCAGCACCTGTTCCAGCACATCCTGCGCTTCTGGATCGCGGCGACGAGAGCGAGGTCAGCGACGTTGGAACATAGCATTCGACACTGGACCACCCGGGGGTCGAGTGGGTCTGGGGGCCAACGGGGGAATTACAAGCCAGGGAGGGGGGGGGAGGGGGAGAAGGAGGGGGAGGAGGAGGAGGAGGAGGAGGAGGAGGAGGAGGAGAGAGAAGGGGGGGGGATGCGGGGGATGCCGAGGAGCGGGACACGGCAGGACGAAAATGATAGAGTAGGCCAGGGGGGGGATGAGAGAAAACTAGGGAGGGGGAGGGGATGGGGAAAAGGGGAAGGGGGGAGAGGTCCAACCATTCACTTCCCAAGTGATCCAGTGTCGAATGCGTCGTCTCACCGTCGCTGTTCCAGATCGAAGTTGTCGAAGTGCCGCCCCCGCGCGTTGAGTTGGTCGACGTGCCGTCGAGCCCCGAACCTCGCGACCCGAAGGGGCTTTTCGCGTCCGACGACCCTCAGCTGCAGGCGATCCTCGACGCGACCATCGCAGCGAGATCGAGGACCACAACGAAGTCCCATGACCCGAGCATGCGCTGGGCCGACGTTGGACCAGATGGAGCCTGACATCTCGCCTAAAGCATACGCCGAGATGAACATGGCTTTGAAGCTCAGGGGGAAGAAGCCGATGCAGGCGATGAAGTCGACGAAGGACAAGAAGCCGATGAAGTCCGCGAAGGAGGAGGGCGCGCCCGCGCCGAAGAAGCCCACGAAATCCCCGAGGTGCGCGTTTGTCAACAGAGAGCACGGCAAGGTCTACAAGCGCGTCCTGATGGAGGCGTCGGCGGCTGGCCGCAGCCGAGCAGTCGCCGAGGTGCGCGCTCGGGTAGCGTCGAGGAAGCGGAGCAATGAGCTGCGCGAGGAGCGCGCTGCAGGCGCGCGCGCCCACTTGGATGGGAGCTGAGGTGGCAGTGTGAAACCAGGACGTTGGCAGCTCACCCAGTTAGGACTCAGTGCATGAGTCACTGCGCATGCAGGTTTGCATGCATCTCGCCGCTGCTCTCTTTCCTCTTTTCGGTAGCTCTGGTGAGCGATGGGGCGCTCCGCCGTCAGCTTTACAGCCCGCTCGCTGCTCGGGCCGGCGCCGCTCGCATTATTTTGACTCGTCGGCGCAGCGGCGCGGGGCAGACCACGAGACATTCTTCCTCAGATTCCTCTTGATCCTCCTTATCTTCCTCTTGGTCCTCATCCTCATCGTCCTCGTCCTCAGATTTCCCTTCCTCTTGTTCCTCTTGATCCTCATCCTCATCTTCCTCGTCCTCGCTCATCTTGATACCCCTCATCATCCTCATCCTCGTCTTCCTCTTGATCCCCCTCAGCTTCCTTATCCGAATTCTTCTCTTCGTTGCCCCCGCGGTCCCTCTTGCATGTTGCTCGTGGCTCCGATCGTGGCGCGTGGACATCCTGGGACTGACGAGTCAAGTCGGTTGCTCGTGACCCGTGGCATCTTGTCTCTTACAGCACTGTCTCAAAAGCTATCGCGTTACTGGCAGCCGTGGCCCATGGCATCTTGTCTCTTACAGCGCCGTCTCAAAAACTATCGCGTCACTGGCAGTCGCAGGGAAACCAAGGCACTCCTCATCACGATCATGTCCACTACGTATGGTCAGGATCATGATCAGCACCAACATATTATTGAATCATTTGCCATCAACATGGCCATCGCACTCGTCGCCCTCAGCCACCAGAGCCACGATCACAATCACTTCACAATCATAACCGCGATCACAATCCTCACCATAACTACGGTCACAATCTTAACTACGATGACAAACACAATCGCAATCAAGGGGGGGGGGAAAAAGCATGCGTGGGTTTTCCCGTCCTTTGCACAGATGCCGGAGCGCCATCGCCATCATCATCGTCAACAGCATCATCATCATCATCGCAATCGCCATCGCCATCATCGCCATCACCATCACCAGCACCGTCATCAACCACGCTGGTGACATGAGAACACACAGTTTTGAAGCCAACACCGCCGATCATGATAGCCATTTGGGCCCAGTCTGTGAGGCAGTGTTCGTGTTGGTTGTCTCCAGTGGCTGATGGTTGGGATCGCTCCATTCATTTCGAGATGAAACAACGCGTGCACGATATGATGATCGCGTGCCAATCCTGGATCAGCTCGGTGCCAATCAACCGCTACACAGAGAGGGTTCATTCCGATATCTCCGAGCTTGCAACGTCCTTGGCAGTGCTGCAGTCGACTCTGGACCTGGTAGCGGAGACGGACAGTGACAACCCAGAGAGCACGAGCCTCGACGGTGTTGTCAAGAAGTACGAGGGCATCGTCACGGAGTTCGTCGCGGAGTTGGCAAGGGCACGAAGAGGAGCGCCAGGGGCCCGCCAAACGCCGAGACCGAGGAGAAGAAGAGGACGCTCCAGAACATTGTCAATGGTGATGAGTGCCCCAGCGGTTTCCAGAATTAGGACTTCGGCGACGGTGGCGGCGAGCTCGTGGAGTCGACTCTCGTCGAGATTAGCTCCCAGGAGTCGATGCCGGGCGCTGCGCCGACGCCAAGTTCGGGGGGCGCGTCGGCTTGTCCAACAGCCAACTCGGAGTTCTTCAACTGGCACCATGGCGACGCGCTCCCGCCTCTTTCGCAGATCCCGCCAGACGCATGAGATGCGGTCAGGAGAGCGCTTTCGCCAAGGATTTCGCTCGTTTCAGCGGCGCGAATGCAGCGCGCGTTTGTTTAGCCGGGTGCCGGGCCAGACAAATCGTCGCTGGGAAAAATCATCATCCTCAATTCCTCCCCTCGCCCCCCCCTCCAAGCCCCCCTCCAGCCCCGCGCCAAATCCCCCTTCAACGGCCGCCCGCGGGCACCCCGAACTGAAGCCCCGCGGGCCCCCCCGAGCCAACTGGGCCCTTCAGTCAGCGGAGCAGCGATCGCTCCCCCCCCCCCTCGTTGTTGCTGCAGTGGTCTTCATCCTCCTGCTGCTGCCGCTGCCCCTCCTCCTCCTCGGCCTCTCGGCGCGGAGAAGATCCCCTGGGGGGCCCTGGGCAACATTCTGGAACAAATCTGGTAAATCCCGGGAAATTCTGGAAAGCCACCCGGGGGAATTCTGGAGCACCAAAAAAGACATCCCGGGGTATTCTGGAGAACCACCCCGAGGAACCCCGGGCGCGCCCGGGTGGGATAGGGCGGGCAAGGGGGAGAGGGGGGGGGAGAGAGAGAAATAAAGACATATAGATAGGGAGAGATTGAGGGAAAGAGAGAGAGAGAGAGAGAGAGAGAGAGAGAGAGAGAGAGAGAGAGAGAGAGAGAGAGAGAGAGAGAGAGAGAGAGACAGAGAGAGACAGAGAGAGAGAGAGAGAGAGAGAGAGAGAGAGAGAGAGAGAGAGAGACAAAAGAGAGAAATAGAGAGAGAGAGAGAGAGAGAGAGAGAGAGAGAGAGAGAGAAAAAAAAAAAGAGAGAGAGAGAGAGAGAGAGAGAGAGAGAGAGAGCGAGTGAGAGGCTGAGGGCACGCATGGAGTCAGCGGGGGCAGGGAGAAGATGAGGATCAGGAGAGGGAGAGGGGTGAGATGGAGAAGTCACGAGGAGGAGGGGAATGCGGAGGAGGAAGAGAGGGACAAGGAGAAGGAGGAGGGGGATGAGGAGGAGGAGGAGGAGGATAAGGGGGGCAAGGGGGATGAGGGAGGGGTGACCTGATGCAGAGAGCACGCGCAGACACCGCGCAATTTTCCATAATTTTCGATGATGTTCCAGAATTCTCCGGGTTCTGGAAACACACAAAGAAGTATATATCAGATCCGGGAGAATTCGGGATAATTCTAGATAATTCTGGAAGCCCGG